CTCCACAGCGGAGGATCCACCTGTCTGTCTGTCTGATGGGCTCATGTTTTGTGTATTGGTCAATGTCGGCTCACTCCAGAGCACTGACGTGTTAAGAGGTCAGTTCAGCTGCTGTGGCTTTTCTGAAGTCTTGGTGACTCAATAATGACTCTCAGCTTAGCTCGTCTGAGTTAGTGATTCCAGGAGCTTCACTCTGCCGCTTTTCCTCCAGCTGTGAATGACCCTGTGGAGTTCAATCACTCATCGGCCTCTATGGCAGAGGGCAGATGTTCCTCTTGACCTGCAGAAATGCTCCACCCTCCACCAGCAGAGGGCCCTCTGGCTGTTTACAGTGTCGTCTGCTCGCTCATCCTGACTCTCTGAGGCAGCATCTGTGTTGGAGCTGGGTCAGGACGCTCAGCGCCATCAGCAGGTAGCGACGGGCATTTTAGTCCATCAGACAAACGCTGACGTCTGTTTTCACCTCAGCTAGAGTCACTAGCCTCGCCACATCATAACTTACCTCATCTCGTAACTTTTAGCTGGAAAAGAGTTATTTATTTTATTTGTACAACAAACCTGATAAAGTCACTGAATGAGCAGAGCGGAAAATGAGTTTAAATGCTCATCTGAGATGCTTCCTTTACACTCAGCTCTGTTTTGTACTGTCTTTAGCTGTGTTTTAGATGTTTTAGCTGTTTTAGCCATTTTTGTGTAAAACACACTCTTTACTGCCCTCTGGTGGAGTATAGAGTTTAGACATCTCGTGTGACGTGAGGGTGCGTAATAGAGAGAATCTAATTTGCATATCATAGATCCTAATTTACTATTAGCAATTTCAAAGTTTGCCACTGTTGCCTTTAGTTCATTTGGAGCTCAGACCTGGATTTTCTATCAAGCTGCTTTGTGACAGCAGCTGCTGAAAAATGTGTTATAAATAAATCATGACTTCTATGATTGTTTGAATAATTGAAGTTAATTTCTAACTCACTGAAACTTTAGAAGGGCAGCGCGTGAGCAGTGGGCACTGTGTTGGTCTGTGGAGCTGAATTGCGATGTTTCTGGTCTATTTGTCTAATGATGCTGATTTGGAATCCACAGATCACTGAAGGTAACGCACTGATCAGATTGTCTGTCCTGACTGACTCGATCAGGAGTCACTGGAAGAGCCAACGATGCCGTCTTTTTTAAATAAACGGATCTTGAGAGCTTTTCTGAGCTCCTCTCTGACGCCCTCACCTGTTTAATCAGAATACCTGCTGTAGACGCTGTGCTGCACTCTCAGAAATAAAGGTACTAGACTGTCTCTGGGTCAGTGCCCCTCTTGTCACTGAGGTGGAACCCTCAAGGCTCCATCTCAGTACCTTTAGTCAGGGAACATAACTGAACCATAATCCACTGAAATGATATGTTCTAAGCTGTACTGACTCCACACACCCCGTCTCGTCTCCAGGCTTTTATTTTACTGTTCTGTTTAAAACATTCGGTTATGAAAAGGTACAAATACGAACTTTTCACCTGGAAAAACTTATTTAAGGTTCACAATCAGACCTTAAAACCACTGTTGGAGCTTTGAGGGAACATTTACACTGTTTGTACCTTGATGAACGAAAAATGTACCTGAACAGAACCTTTATTTCTCACAGTGTTCAGGAAGAGTCTGATAACTATACAGCTGGTCTTTTCGAGCACACAGATCACTTTTGCCTTTAATGCCGTCTAAGTGGAATTATGGTGTCTGTGTTTGAGTGTTTCTGTCGAGATGAAGACAGAAAAATCCCTCGACTGACACTCTGCCTTCACGCTTAGTTCACATAGTTCTGAGGGCAGAACTTTCTCTGGAGGTGTTATTCCTGAACTGAGAGCTGAAGAGACGAGTTCTGTCAAGTGTGAAGTCTGATTTGAGTAGTTTTATTCAGTTAGATGTGTGTGCTGTAACTTTTATAGATACATAAATATAAAAATATAAAACATATAAATATTACTTCATTATGACCACCTCCTTGTTTCTACCCTCACTGTCCACTTTATCAGCTCCACTGACCGTATAGTTTCACTCTGTAGTTCTACAGTTACAGACTGTAGTCCATCTGTTTCTCTGCATAATTTGTTATCCTGTTCTTCAGTGGTCAGGACCCCCACAGGACCCCTACAGGAACCCCACAGAGCAGGTACTATTTGGGTGGTGGATCATACTCAGCACTGCAGTGACACTGACGTGGTGGTGGTGTGTTAGTGTGTGTTGTGCTGGTACGAGTGGATCAGACACAGCAGTACTGCTGGAGGTTTGTTGTAGGTTTTTATTGTACGTGTGTGGTGTGATTATCACTGAAGAACAAGAATTTCAGAATCTTCTAAAAAAAAATCTGATTTAGGTGAATTAATGTCAGTATTGAAGAATCATTTATTTCCATGAATTGATCATTTTTATGATATTAACGAATGAGCTGGTAGAAAGGCCACGTAAAGACACTCGTGATGAACCGCTGCCTTCATGACTTCAGAGCTGCAGAAACTCTGGGATGGGAATGCTGCTCTGTGACGTTCCAGGCTGGGGATGCAGGATGCGCTCTGACAGGCGCGGAGGGCAGTTAATAATGCAGGGAGTCTCTGCGGCGTTAGACTGGGAGCACCGACCAACCCGACGCTCCGAGCCGTGTGACCTCACACGTCAGCTACAGCTGGTCTTGCGAGGCCTCAGTGTTCTCACAGCTGCAGACCCCGAAGCTCCTCAAACCTCCGGCTCTGCTGGACTGTCTGAACAGAACACACTCAGAGGAGAACCGAGAGATCAGCTTCTGAGAGACAGAGACAGAGAGACAGACTGACTGTTAGAGCTCTCTGAAGTCCTCAGTGTGTCACTGCTCAGCTGCTTCTTACAAATTGTACATTTAAATGCATTTATTTCTCGTGTTTTACAAAAACATTATGCTTTAACTGTTTTTCACAGCAGCCATAATAACCCCTCATTTCTCACTAGCAGCTCAACATTTCACACACAGAGAGACGACAGGGTCCAAGATCATCTGATAACAGAGTTACAGAGGACAAACATTTTATCATATTACTATATAAGAATATCTGATTCAGTTTCTAATTGGCCAGTCAGAGTGGCCACTAGAGGGCACTGCAGAAAGAGATGAAGCACTGTAGATTTGCAATAGCTGAGCTCAGTGTGTAACATTCAGATAAAATGGAACATCTTCCCTTCAGGTGTCTTTGATGTGTCAGAGTGACGAGACTGTTGAGTAGCTGCTCCTCTCAGTCTGAGTCCTGCAGCTCCTCCTCTCGCTTTCTTCACGCTAATCTCCTCGTCTGCTTCTCCAGAAGCTCCAGGATGTGGAGAGCAGGTCGAGCTGATTTATGGAGGCTGATGCGCTCTGAGTTGGAGAGCTGAGGGTCTGAGTCGGAGCGGCTGTTCCTGGTTCATGTTTGGTTGAGTTGATTCTCAGCAGGTTTGCTTACAGTATAAACGCCTGAAAAAGACGCTGATTGTGTATTAATTGAAGGCCCTTTATTGTGATTATCTGCTGCTCCAGCTTCACTGCTGAGGAAAGCCGCTGTTTGCAGTTGTTGTTGCGTGTTTCTAAAAGTCTGAGCAGTTTAGAACGTTGTCTGCTCTCTGCAGAGCTCCTGTTCAAATCCTCCACCTACTGCTTTCAGTCTGGCCGACAGAGATTAGTGCTTGTTTGTTTGTTTGTTTGTTTGTTTGTGAGTGCTCACAGTAACAGTAAACACAGTGTTTTTGTGATAATCCTTTATTTAGTGTGTGTCTCTGACAGTCAGCTGGGTTAGTCCAGGTAATTCTCAGCAGAGCTGATAAGAGCTCACGTCCTGAGAGACACTCATCTCCTGTTCTGCAGCTTCAGTGTGACGGGATGTTTAGTTTTTATTAACATTCTTTTTTATTCCTGAATCTTTCCCGTTCTTGGTTCGAGCTCCTCTGAGTGACACTGAGTCTCTTGTTCTGTAATCACCACATTGTGGAAATTTTACTAGATACAAAACATCAGAAGAGCAACGTTCTTCTGAGTCTTCAGGAACATTTTAATCATGTTACAGAGAAAAAAATGCACAACATGACCTTAAAATCATCACTGCAGAGTTTCAGGGTGATCATGTGATCTTCAGTGTTGTGTTGTTTATTTATTTATTTTTAAGCCGTTTTCCTCAAAGACCTCAGTAAAAGTGCCCCTGCATATTCGGAGACCGAGCGCAGCCGCCACCGTCTCAGACGTTCTCTCTCAGTGAGGCGATACGTCGTCCTCTGTTCTGAACATCTGGTTCGGTGTGATTGTATTTATAGCGAAGTTGGGGCCCGTGCTGTGGGAGGAGGGCAGTGGGAGGTGGGGGGGGGCAGTGGGAGTGGTGGGGGGGCAGTGGGAGTGGTGGGGGGTGAGGGAGGAGGAGGAGGAGGTATTGTGTGTTCATGCTCTTATGATCATATGACTGAGGAACATCAGCTGCTGTAGCTGCAGTGTCTTCACGGCTGGATTGTTTTTGAAATCTCTGTGTTTGAGGAGGCAGAGTGTGTTTCAGACAGAGTGAGAGAGAGGAGTGAGAGAGAGGAGTGAAATAGCACCAAGCCTCTTACTCCAGTGAGAAACAGCCATGCTGAAGTTCAGCACCACTCTCCGCTCGAGGTGTGTAGTCTGGTCTGATGTCTGTGTGGTTCTGTGTGGATGCTGTTCTGCGTTCGTCTGTTTCGGGCTGATTGTTTGTCTCTGTGATTGACGTCAGCGTATCTGAGGGAGCAGTTATTCAGCCGTTTGTTGAGATATTTGAGTTTTGACTGTAATTTGAGGATTTGCAGTATTTTGTGAAGCAGCACAACGAAAACAATGAAGTAATTAGCCCTCCTGACGACACACTGAGCTGAGATAATACAGAGATGATCTACAGCACACAGTGATGACAATACAGTACAGAGATCTCACAATAGAAAAATGTGTAGCAGTTATTTAATGTGTTTCTCTCTCTCTTTCTCTTTCTCTCTCTCTCTCTCTCTCTCTCTCTCTCAG